GTGCTTCCTGTGGCCAGTATTCTTCTAAATGTTTCAGTGAGGATGGAATTTAGTAGATCATCTTGGTGCATCAAGAAACTGAGAACAAGTTATATTTTAAAGAACAATGATTCAACACATGGCAGTCCACTAGCCCAGAACAGTGGTGAGCTGAATCTACTGGACCAATGAAAAAACTAGTTGGTCAAGTGTGATGACTTTTAGGATTAAAGCAAAGAATGGCTTCTTGAAATAAAGAAATATGTGAAAAAATATGCTTGAAATGTCAGGTGTCTACTAAATTAATGAGCCAAAAAATATATCTCAAATCAAAACTGGAAAGTGTTAATGTGTCGGATGAATGTTTTGAACACTAGCAGTGTGCACTGTGAACAAAGCCATGTCCCAAAGCATAAGCTTTGTAATACTAAATTAAGTGAAAAATGGCAAAATAAAACTAGAAAAGAGCACTGGAGGGGGGTGGGAGGGACAGACAATAATAGCCCTGTGTTGCTGAGGCTTGATGTGACATACTGATAATATCTGAACCAAAGGCTGCAGAAGCACAGGAAATCCACAAAGGCAATCAGGTCAGTCAGTGTTCTAGAGCTACCTAGTTTAGAATACTAAAAAATGCACATGAAACTCTATTAAATATAGTTTTAACTGGACTAGCTGAAAAAACTAGGGCAACAACATAGTTGGAATGAAAAGCTGAGAGTCCAAGAAGAGACCATGGTATCTTCCTCATAGACATCATTCTCTCCCCACAACTGAGATGCAATGATGAAAAAGTTCTAAAGGATGACTGTAGTGGTAATAGACAAATGCACAAATGTCTGGGTGAAAGAACCTTACACGACGTGCTACTGATACCATTGCCTCACAGAAAAGGAAAGACCACTTTTAGCTAGGGAAGTTGTGCTTCTAACTAGCTACAGAAAAGTGAAATGCAAGAGTGAAACTCCTTTGGGGTTACTACTCTTGAAGGAGGGTGGGGGGAAGCCTCTTCTAAATCGTAAGGAGATTTTGCACACCAAACTTGGAAACCAGTGGGGACAACTTTTTGGCAGCTACAAATTAAGCCTCATGCTTTCCAAGTACTACTTTGATACCTTTCCCCTGCCCTATCTGCTACTTTCCTGTAGTTCCCTGTTCCTTCTTGGTTCTGCCGTGTGCCACACACGGGGTGCCCGTGCCATGTGTGGCACATGTGCTGCAGGTTGGTCCTCCTGTTGTAAGGCATCCACAAAATATAGTTCACAAGCAAAATAATTAGGATGTAATAATCAGAGATGAGGTGGAATCATGAAGGACAAAATGTAACCAAGGAAGTTTATCCTACATAAAACTAAAGCAGTGATTCCCAAACTGTGGTATGCGTACTATCAGTGGTACCCAGACGACCTGGAAGTGGTATGCAGAAGGCTGGAGGGGAGGGGCTGCACACACCCAGAGCCTAGCAGCAGCCTGCTGCATACAGCCAGGAACACAACACCCAGTTTGTTGGGGGGAGGGGCGGCAGATCAAGGACCCCATGATGAAGGAGGTAGGGGGGCAAGGGCTGGGGTGAACAGGGCCCCAGGGCAGGTAGTGGGATCTATGCATGGCGCAGAGGTGGGCTGCCACTGCACGCTAAGCTCTGCACCAAGCTGCTTCTGGCCTGGGAGCTTCGTGCAATGCCATGTGCCTACTGCGTACGGGCTGCACTGCATCCTCTGTCTGCCTGGCAGCACGGTGTCCCGTGTGGCTTCAGAGGCAACAGCAGCAGCCTATTGCTCCCTAGGGGTTTTCTCCCCTCAGGCCAGCTCAATCTATCCCCAAGGCAGGGCTGCCACAAAGGTGGCCTGGGCCTTTCCAGTGATGTGGGGGGCTCCCTCTGATGTGTGCACCCCAGGGCAGGCATGGGGGGGGGAATGTGCCCCCCTGGATCTGTGTGTGGAGGGAGGCAGACTGCACGCTGGGCTCTGCATCACATGGCGCTGCCTCCAGACCTCCGCAAGGCACCACATGCCTGCCACTGCTGGGCAGGCAGAGACACTCAGCCAGTGCATGGCATGCACATGGCTTCCCGCACAGGTCCGCAGGCAGTGGCAGCAGCAGCACAGTGCAGAGCCCAGCACGCAGTACGCAGCCTGCAGCCACCTGGGTTTGGGTGACACATGCCCCCCATGTCTGCCCCAGAGTGTGCACAGCCCCTTCCCCCCACTGCCTATGGACCTGTGCAGAATGTCATGTGCGTACTGCATACTGGCCAAGTGCCTCTGCTCGCTTGGTGGTGGCAGGCACATAGCATCCCACGCAGGGAGTTCCTGCTGTGGCCCAGGGGCCTCCACTCTGCTTGCGCTGCGCCCAGCACACACAGGCAGAGCCAGGAGCCCCCCAGAGCCTGGAGTCCCGCCCCGGCCAGGCAGCATTCCCCTGTGGGCAGGGTGGCTGTGCCCCATGCCCGTGGAGCTGTGTGACCCAAGCTGGACCCCAACTCTGGTGCCGTTGAGCACCCCTGCTGCAGCCAGAGTCTGCACAGCCCTGGGGCAGCCCCCACTACCTGCCCGGCCCCCTCTCTCCTCTGGCTGCCACCTTCCCAAGGGCCCGGCTGGGCCAGCCTGCCTTCAGTGCCTTCCCCCACTCTTCCTCTCTCTTTTCTCTACTTCTCCGTCTTCCCTCCCTCTCTTCTTCTCTCTCTTCCCCCTCCTCTCATCACAACATGCTTAACAAAAAAGAATACATAAGAACAAAGGTAGTAAATGAAGTTTTATTTATTGACACCAGGTTTAGAATTTTTAGAAAACCTGGTATTTACTGTTAAAAAGATAAAAAAGAAGCACCATTTATGATTCTCATAGTGCTTAGGGTTAGAAGGGACCGAAACAGATCATCAGGTACGACCCCCTGCCCCGGGGATTATTAATTATGTTAATACAGGTGCTTCCAGCTGTGTACCCTCTGCTCCAGTTTTGTTTTTCTGGTGTGCCTGTACTCCAGCACCTTACAGGCTACACACTGCCGTTTTTTCAGTACTCCAGCCAAAAATGTTGCCTACCCCTGGTTTACACTGTCTTTTTTTGCAATTCTCAATTGTCTTATATGGCTACCATAACTGATAAAACAATGTTTTATAATTACTAAATGTTTTGATGTTGTTTTAATATATAGTCTGTTACATATGCATAAGAAAAAATTGCTGGTGGTACTTAAGGCTCTGTCTTTTCAAACAGGCGGTACTCAGTCTGTCAGAGTTTGGGAACCACTGCTCTAAAGTGTTCATAAAACACCATTAAAAAAAACACAACAAAAAGACCAAGATGACAAATCTTAGCCACAGGCATTCAGTGAAAAGATACCAAAAGCCAGAACTATTCTGAACCAATTAAAATGTGTGTCTGCGTGTGTATATTCCTAGGAGCATTTAACATATCATTAATAAATTTGCATAACATCCCACCTGTTCTCTCAGAATTGCTACTTACCCCAGTTTTATCACATAGACGTAAAGTATGGAAAGATCCTACAGCAAATAATTCTCCATCCAGAGCCCAGGCAACAGAAGTTATAGGATACTCATGAGGCTGTGAACTGTACAGTAGACGACCATAACTATCCCATACCTCAGAAAGAAAATATAAATTACTGTCTGAATTTATTCTGGACATGCCATTATTATTTTAGAAGTATCATTTTCCAATTTTATCGCATTTCAAAAGCTGCAGAACTATCTGGTCCATTTCAGCCATTAGCTAGACCAGACAGCAAATTAATTTAACTGTTTTTTAAACATCTAGAACAGGAGCCAAACCCTGTATACTCTGCAAAAAAAAGGCCCATTAAAGTTATATTTGGAGTACAGGATGAGCCTTTCTTCTGAATATCATCTTTCAAGATTTTAACAGCAACAAATGCTCTGATGAGTGACAATCATATTTCTAAACTATTTTAATACATTATTCTCCATCTTCTCCTATTTGGTGAGTATACTACAAAAATAATTGTTATCCTAATTATCAAAATTAAATTAAAATAAATTCATAATTAAGGGATAAAACACAACACATGTCCTCTATCAGTAACATACAGCAGAATGCCTTGTAAACAACTCCAAAGCAAATTACTTTTATTTAGCTAAAATAGGATAAATGGTGTTTCCCTATCAACTAGGAATTTTTCTCAAGTTCTTAGTCTTAATTCTTTCTTCAGTTTCTGCATGTTCCATTTTCCTTTGTTTAGTTCTGTAAGGATTTTTTGTGTAAAATCTTACCTATTCTTTTTCTGGCTTATTCTTTAAATATTTTCACCATTTTTATACCTAATTAGTTTTAAGCTTGGAAAGTCTTGTGAAAACTGGAGAAAGCCAGTAGTGTCTTACACTGTTAAGCAACTCCTATTTAAAGGTGTTTAAATAATTTAATCAATACACACCTTGTATTTACAGTCTTCACCAGCAGACAGGATAAGATCATTGACTGAATTCCAATCAACTTTTAAAATAACTCCATCATGGGCTTTCCACTGGGAGAAAAAAATAAGTACAGACTTAAACTGGGAAATTGCTTTTAATATTATTTTTAGTTCTTACTATTTATATTTAAGAACCATTCATAGGTCCCAATATGGACTGTGTTTCATTTGTGCTTAGTGCTGAAAAAACAGCAGATGCTGTCTCTTCTGAAAGGAATTACAAGACAATTTGAAGCTACTTTACTGATAACTTACCAGTAAAGCATCTTTTAACATGATCCTCAAATAAATGCTGTGAATTTCACTCTCTGTTTGGAGAAAAAAAGTGTTCAGAAGCTGTAGGGCTACTGGATGTGGCAACCATTGATCCTCCTGGATCACTGTGTGTACATGTGGGCCACCCAGACCTTTGATGCATATGACTAGGGAGGAATTTTTGGAGGAGTAGAGGCTGCCCAGACCTTTCAGCTTCACTTTAGGCAACCAAGACAGAATCCACAGAGCAGACTGAATCCAGATGCTTGGTGCCTCCATAGCTGGGAATTGAACCCAGATCTCCTATGTGCTAGACAAAGATTCTACCACTGAACCACAGGGGGCTCCTGCTATTGAGTGTATGTGCAGGCAATTAGACAGATCTACTGAACAGTGTGTAATCCAACTTCAGTATTGAGTGGGAGCTTTTGGTGTTGCCATAATACTAACAAGACAATACCTACACACATGATCACCAAGAACCCATTTTTCCAGTTAATATAATGAACTTTAAACAAATTTTTTAACAAAAAAATCCTAGTTTTTATGAGAGTTTGGTCATAAAACTGCATATTAATCTTGTTTTTTCATATTAAGACCAAATATATTACCAACATTCGCTTTCAAAATTACTGATAATCTCTCTCTCACACCACATCTCCGGAGGGGGTATCCACGCATCTTTGAACATCACCAGAATTTAGCTTATTAATGCATCTCCACTGAAACTACTCACAATGTTCAAAATGTTTGAGCATCTTCAAACCTCTTCCCCCCACTTTTTTAAATGACAAAATAAAGTTTATCCTGTTTTCTCTCCCCAAATATGAACTCTCTATATATCATAAAAAGAAAAGCAGCTGCAGAGTCAGTAAAATATTCTACCAGCATTTGTTTAGGAGCTGAGTATTCCTCACAAATACTCTATAAAAACTGCTTGAACTCACTGTCAATAAAATGTTTATACCACGTTGTACCACTACTTGTACCAAATATCACGTTGCAAAAAAAGTTAGAAATGTTCCAGAAAGTTTAATATAATATTGGGATTATTTTTGTATCTCTATACTTTCAGAAAGTCAAGACTCCCCCACTTCAATAAATCCAACAGTAAGGCATTAAGAGGGAAAAAAAAGTAACATGTTTAAGACCTCTAGAATTATGCAGTATTTTTGAATCTTTAGGAAATAGTGCCAAATGCTATATAGGACTCAGAATAATATAAAGTTCCATTTTTGTTTCTGATGGCTCAACTAGTAGAAATGGTCCACATTTCAAAGAAAGAAAGCAAGCCAGTCAGTCAGTCAGTCCACTAAAACTGAAATCTCCACTCTCCCACAAGAATATTATATTTACTGTATATAAGATGACACACTAATAATTAGATTCTATATATGGAAAAATTATACATTAGTTAGAATTTTCCAGGTCAAAATCAGAGATTTTCCAGGTCAAAATCAGAGAATTATCAGAGATTATTGCCTTGAATTTGTGACCTTCCCACTGCTACAGCAGGGAAAATAAATCTGGGGGAGATCAAGTAGGCTCCTTCCCCTCTGACACTTACTTCTGCTCACATATGCACATGCTTACTGCCCAGTAAACTGCTCTAATTGTGAGTAAATTG